CCGGCAGCAGAAAGGGGACATTTGCCTGGACACAGACTTATTTATCTTCTCCCACTAAACTCTCTACTTTTGCAATGAAGTCTTTGCCCTCTGCTGACCCCAGGACCTGTCAAGACCTTGAGCTTGGTGGAGTGTGCTGCCAACACTGCTTCCCTTATTACCCATTTCAGTCACTAATCTGGGACTACATCAGTGGTTCCCAACCCTGGCTGCACTTCAGATTCACCTGAGAGTTTTTCCAAAATACACCGCCCCTCCTTCCCAGGAATCTCTGGCATAGGTATGAGATCCTGGCAGGTATGGGAGAAAGGAAAATAAGAGAATTTGCCTGGTAACCATCAGGGGGAAGGAATTAACTGCTCTCTAAAACCATGTTAAAAGGTCAGAGCCCAGCACAGTGGTGCATATTTGTAATCCTAGCACTTTGGGAGGCTGAAGCAGGAGGATCACTTAAGCCCAGGAGCTCAAGGCTTCAGTGAGTTAAGTCATGCCACTGTACTCCAGCCTGGGCAACAGAGTGAGACCCACACCACTGTACTCCAGCCTGGGCAACAGAGTGAGATGCTCAGGCATCAGTCTTATTCTAGCACCCTAGGTGACTTCAATGAGCAGCAGGGGCTGAGAACCGCTGCTTCACATAAGGGAGCATGTCCTGGGGGAGCCAGGAAGGTCTTCTGAGACCTGATCCTGTTGGTTAACTTCATTTCCCAACAAAGGGCTGCTAGATCCTCCTGCAGTTCTCAAGTCATCCTTGTGGTTTGTAAAATACTGCTTTCTTTAGAAATTTAAGTATGTGGTGCCTCTGAAACTGTGAACATTTCTGAAGATCCTCATTAACTGTTGGTAACTGTAAAATTTAAGGAGGCAGAAGCAGAGGGACACGTATCTGGAGATATGGGTGGCTGCTGCTCCCAGCATCAAAGGCGTTCGTCTGCATTCATCCTGTAGGTGGAAGCTGCTGCTCCCCCGTGGAGGGCCGCAGAATGTGCTGGATTAGGTGTGGCTGAAGTGTGCGATTATGCACTCTGTGTACAGACTTTCATAGAGCATGTTAATTGTAAAGTGCTTACTAGATCATAAACATTGCTTTTTTTTAAAAAAAAAAATCAGAGTTTATCACTTGACAAAAGACATAATTTTCCCCCACACACTCAGAAGTACCACTCTGAGTAATAATTTGGCCCTTACAAAATTATCATTTTCCTGTTATTTTCACCTGTGTTCAAGGGAAGGCGCAAAGTTTGATCTTCAAATAAATAATATAAATGTCAATTAATTAGCCAGAAAGATCTGCTTTTTTTTTTCCAGTCTAAATATTTTAATGCCCACCTACAAAGGCAATGGGTATTTGAGGGAGAGAGTTTCACATCAACTTTACCATTCCACTTCAGGAAATTCTGACTATTTATTTATTTATTTTTCAGAAAGGGTCTTTCTCTATTGCCCAGGCTGGAGTACAGTGGTGTGATCATGGCTCACTGCAGCTTTGATCTCCTGGGAGTAAGTGATCCTCCTGCCTCAGCCTCCCAAAGTGCTAGGATTACAGCATATACCACTGTGCTGGGCTCTGACCTCTTAACATAGTCTTAGAGAACATGTTAATTCCTTCCCCCTGATAGTTACCAGGAAGATTCTCTTATTTTCCTTTCTCTCATACCTGCTGGTTAGGAAAGACATTATCTTTCCATTGAATTCTTTATTTGACTTAGTATACAACATCCCATTTTGGGTATATATAGAAAACTAAGATTATCTGTTTGACCTCACGCAGGAAAAATAATCATTTAATGAATGGTATTTGCCATTTCTAGTCAGGTTTTTTTTGAGGGTGGTGATAAACAGATGCAGCGTTTATCTACTGCTCAATACCACGTCACTTAGCTTCCGGATCCCTACAAATATTTTGTTCTGAGTTGTGGTTATGCACTGAAGAGAGGTATCACCACTTCCGGCTCACACACCTGCCACCTGCAGCTTGACCTTTGCCCATTGCTTTGTGGTTTTGTTACTTGTGTACCATCCTTCTACTCCAGCAGGGGGTCTCAGCCCTGACTGCCCATGGACAGCACTTGGGGCTTAAAAAAAGATGGGTGTGCCAGCCCTAGGCCCAGAAATTCTGATTCCATTGGCTTAGGATGGGGCTTAGGCACAGGTATATTACAGCAGACCCCCAAGGAAGTCTAATGTGCAGGCGGTTTTGAAAGCACAGTTGTTGCCCGTCAGGTCTTCCTGATAGCTGGCAACATTGTGTCCTCTGCCTGGTATCCATAGCACCTGCGATTGAGTCTGGTACAGGACAGAGACTCACGAGTCTGCTGTGAATGATGCACTGAATGTATCTGGAACGAACTTGGAATCCGGGTTTCCTCATGCCACAGTATCACCCTCTTCTGATGCATTCCTCAGATGCTAAATTAAGCAAGAAGCCAGAGTGTCAATTCTAAAGAAGCAGGACTGCTGGAACATGAATTCGCCACGGTTCGCCCTGGGTCCATGTTCCATTACTTGTTAATATTCAAAGACAATGCCATAGAATTTAGTCAGTAAAAACAAAAAAGAAAAAAAAAAACCAGGTCAGTATACTGAAAAGGAATATTAAGTTATTCAGAAATGCATGGCAATGGATTGCAGACATGTGAAGCAAAATCAGGGCTACCTAATTCCTCCAGAGAATGCTGTGCAGAACAGACGTCCCTTTCTCCCATGTGGCTTAAAAAATAGCTACCTACACTTTGGTAGGCCGAGGCAGGTGGATCACGAGGTCAAGAGATCGAGACCATCCTGGTCAACATGGTGAAACCCCGTCTCTACTAAAAATACAAAAAATTAGCTGGGCATGGTGGCGCATGCCTGTAATCCCAACTACTCGGGAGGCTGAGGCAGGAGAATTGCCTGAACCCAGGAGGCAGAGGTTGTGGTGAGCCGAGATGGTGCCATTGCACTCCAGCCTGGGTAACGAGTGAAACTCTGTCTCAAAAAAAAAAAAAATAGCTACATAAAGATAAATTTTTAAAATAGTTACCCGAATACAAAAGCAGAAACCCAACTCTCAATTTTTCATTTTATTTTATTTATTTCAATGATTGATTGATCCACTCATTCATTCATTCAATTTGGGTGTACTGAACCTTTTTGTACCAGGCACTGTTACTGCAGTATCAGTGGGATACTGCAGTAATTCAAGTGACCTGTGCCTAGTCACATGGAACTTACATTCAAACGCGGAAGGTAGGTAAGAAACAAGAAAGCAGACAGCACAGAATTCAGGCAATGAGGGTGGTGAGGATGAAATCGCAGGGGCCAGGGAACAGGTGCAGCCCTGGCAATCATGGAGGATCTCTGTGATGTGGCCTGGAAGCTTAGGTCTGGATTTCTGAGGGTAGGGGATAGCAAATTCATGGGTGCAGAGGCAGGAACGAGCTGGAAATGTGAGCAACAGAAAGTCTAGGGGCTAGAACTTGGCAGGAGAAGGAGGAGTGGTAGGAAATGGGACTCAGGAGCTGGGCGGCACGGGGTTCTGCATGCCAGGGAAGGACTATGCATGGAGATAGTAAAAGCGGCAAAAGATGCCATCAGTTTTCACTTAACAGAATTGCTATCACAAGAGAGGTCGGTAATAGGAGAAGGGCTGAGTGAATTTTCTAGCCCTGGGGAAGCCATTCCATTATTGGGTCAAGCCTCACAAAATCACTTGAGTAAAACAATAATTGCAAGAATTTTCTTTTCTTCCTGAGTGTTGGGATGAGAGAGGGAACTGTTGAGTCTATTCTTCCCCTAGATGTCCATATAGCCTTTTAATTTTATTTTTCTTTTATTAGACAGAGTTCCAGTCTATCACCCAGGCTGGAGTGCAGTGGCGCGATCTCGGCTCACTGTAGCCTCCATGTCCTGGGCTCAAGCATTTCTCTGACCTCAGCCTCCCGAGTAGCTGGGACTACAGGCATGCAACACCACGCCTGGCTAATTTTTGTATTTCTGTAGAGATGGAGTTTTACCATGTTGTCCAGGCTGGTCTCAAACTCCTGGGTTCAAGTGATTTTCCCACCTAGGCCTCCCAAAGTGCTGGGAATACAGGCATGAGCCACTGTGCTTGGCGCCCCGTCTTGTTATTGTCTTCATTTAAACCTCTGTTCAAATGTCATTTCCCCAAAGAGGCCTTCTTCTCTGCTTCTGGTGGTCTTCAAGGTCTCTACTATTACAATATGTTATACTGTATGTCTATTTGTTCATTTCATACTTCCCCCTCCCTACTGGAATGTAAATCCCTGAGGTCAAAGGCTTCATTTATTTTGTTTTCTGCTGTACTCAGTACAGTTCTTGTACTCGGCACATGGTAAGTGCTCAGCAAATATCTGTTGAATGAATTAGTTTGAATAAATGCCATTGGGTTTTGCGGCATTTATTTGGGCACAAAGGACTTGGGAAAGCCCTTGTGTTGCTATGCTTCTGTTTCCCAAGCAATTCGTGTCCTTTCTAATCTTTCTGCCTTAATCACTTTAAATGTACCGACGAGCACAATTGACCAATTAATAGCTCTTATGCTCTTGTTACATCATTTGTAATCCATGATGCCCTTTCTATTTGTAATGGCCTTTCAATTTTTCATGACCCAAAATGGACGACATGCATAATGAATACAAATAGCAAATTGATTAAATGTAATGCATATTCTACTGCTTGCTGGGCTTATGCCTGTTATTAATGACAGAAATCCAGCAAATTCTCATGAAAACACCGATGACATACAACCTTTAATGCAAGATGTTGGAGCACTAGGGGTCCTAAATTTTCCTAATTACTGAGCAACAGCAGACATTAATTTCCCAGATGGCAACCTTTGTAAATAAGAAGATCAGCATGGCTGCTTTGTCCAAGTTCTTTTCGCTGAGCACAAAACCCATCATGCAACCCATTTTTACTCCACCAGACTATTTGTGTTGTGTTTCAAACAAAAATACACTTGAGAGATTGCCTTACGAGCAAAGTATAAAGGAGGCCACTTGTGCAAAATCAAATTTATTGTCTGCTCAGGGATTGCATGTTTTTTTGGAGCCCTAATACACCGTGATACAGATGCCACATAGCTTCAGTTTGTGCACTGGGCATTAAAGCATCACAAAAATGATAAAACAAAACAAGAAAGAAGACATGATGCAATGGACAATATGGTCAAGGACATGCTTTGAAGAGACCTGCCTGGCTAAACGTGCAGTCTTGGTTTCAGATTGCCAAAGAATGAGCTGGTTTACAATAATAGGCTGTGTGAACAAATCTTCTTTCCCCATTAGTGGAAAATTTCTGGGAAGCAGGCATTTTCTTTGACACATTGGGGCACATGATGACTGGTTTACCTAGGTCGGCACTGGAAAACAATGAGCGCTTGTTTGATGGGTCTATTAAGAGGGAATGAAGTGGATAGGAGCATTTATTGAGACACACCCACACTCAGAAAGTAATGTTCACAGCATGCTGACCACTGCTCCTGTACTCTTCCTCCTGAAGCACAAATGGGCCACTCTGCAGAAGGTAGGTGGGGTGAGAGAATGGGCAGCTGTGATCCTGGTCCACTTCCCCAGCAGCTCCTCCGATGAGACCTTGACAGGTCTACCTCCAAGACAAATCAGGCTCTGAGTCAGTGGAATTCCAAACCTGGGAAAAGCAGAGCTCTGCCAGAATGCACGCTGCCAATTTGGGGCCCAGAGTGGTTTTGATGATACCTGGGTCTAGGCTTAGTAGATTCCCTTCTACCTCTGAAAGTGTGCACATTGGGGTTGGAAACTCCAGAAGTGACCCTGAACAAGTGAGTGGTGTATCAGGAGACACAGAGAGCCTGGGTAGTGAGGGAGAAGTGAGACAGGGAAGGAAAGGTGACCACACAATATAAGATGCATTATTAAGTCAGCTACCACAGAGGGTGACGGCAGTTGAATCTCACAGGGTAACTCTGGAAAACTGCAAAGTAGGTGGCTTGGAATTACTTTAGCCAAGTGGTGAGGGAGCTGGGGTATTTATACCCATATAACCAGCAGCCATTGCTTAAGAGTGCCCCCAGAGAGATATCAATTCCTAGGCAATTTCACCTTTCTATGCCTATGGACAAAGTGGGTTCCAGGAGCCTAGGGGCCATATGTCTGACAAAGATGCAGTGGATATGGGTGGAGCGCCCATAGAGACTGCTTCAAAGTCACCCAAGGACTTAGGAACCCTTCCAGCATATACGAAACCCATGCCCCCACCCTAACTTCTGAAGGCATCACCATTACTCAAGATCAAAATGTCTGATTCATGTATACAGTGCATTAAGTACACTTTTGAATGTGATTTGAAAGGGGAACGATATTAGCAGACTCTACCTGCTGAATTTTCCACTCCATGGAGATGGCTAGGCAGACTTCCTGCTAACACTTAGAAAGCACACATGCCCTCCTCCCCTACTGTCATATGTCTATGTGAGGGAATAAAGAATTCACAACTAATTCTAAGAAAAGAAACTAGGAAGAGAAACACTGACTATAGAGTAAGAGAAAGCAACAGCACTGACAGAGACGGACAGAAAGGAAAGAGAATTTCATTTATTAAAATTGGAAAAAACGCAAAAATTCTTGGTACCTTTAAACGTGTTCCCTAGATGAAGCCTGAGGTACTGTGCTGGAACTTTCTGACTGCCATATGGAATCTGGTTGTCAGACGGCCTCATTTTATATGGCATTCATCTTGTAAAGCCAAAGAATTCCTTAGCATCTTCACTTCTTTGGTACTTTAGTTGCAAAAATCCTTTCTTAGTGCATAACAATGATAATAATTAGAATTTATTTCATGCTTACTATGTGTGAATTGTTTTACATGTATTAACTCATTTAATACAATAAACCTATGGTTAGCTATTTGTTTCCCCATTTCACAGGGAAAAAAGCTGCGGCTCAGAGAGGTTCAATGACTAGCACAAGATCACTCAGGAAGTGGAGGTAGATTTAAATCCAGAGGGTCTGATTGCAGAACCCCCACTTTTTACATCTCCATATTTTATTTCTTTCATGTACCCTAATCACTTACCTAGATAGGCACATGTTTTTACAAACATAAATCCTTCCTTACTTGTTTCTATCCCAGGGATGTGATGGCTTGACATTTTACACCGTGGTAAGTGCAATATTTTCACATTAGTAACATCCTAAAACAGTTTATTCAAGGAGCAGAGAGGCCTCACTTTCCCAAGGATGACATCTTGTTTCCCCGCCGCATGCCCAGGTCTCTCAATAGCAAAGCCTTGCGAGTTTTATTTCACATCCATCTTAGCATCACCTGTTCTCTAAATCTAGGGAAACTCACTGTGGGTTACAGGAAATCCAGCAAATCAATTTTGTTTGCTTCTCTTGGCTATCAGATGAGTCTACTCAACCAGTGGACTCCATATTGAGTAAAAATATAAAACATGCAAATGGCACTCCATTCTTGTTTGTTAGCTTTTTACTAAATAAAAGAAGGAAGTCTGATCATAGACAGAACCAGTGCTTAGAAAGCACTTAAGTGATTGTTTATATTCACATTTATTATGGTGTGATCTGAGTCTAAAAAATAATTGACTTTTTTTTTTCCAGCAAGGCTTATGTTTTTAAACACAGACCCCGAGAGGCTTCTCATTCTCCTAAACATCTTTCCAGGCAGAGATGAGAGGGAAAGAGCTCATGCCTGACAGTGCTAAAAGCCTATGGTTTGCTTTTCCGTGATGTTTCTATTACAGTGTAAGTGTGTATATGGTTTAAGTACATATGCACAGAAATGCTATCTGCTAAATTTGAAAGAAAGATGGCTCTCCCACTCCTAACACTTAAGAACTCAGAAAAGAGAATGCTTTAAGAGGCAGCAAAATCCACGACTACACACAGATAAAAGGCCCTCTTATTTTTCTAAGTATTTGGAGAATTAGTCTACAGAAGGACTACAACAGGAACTACCAAAGTGAGATGGGATAAAATGAGAGAAGTGCACCTAGGGAACCGTTTCAGTATGCAAGAGTGTGGAGTGTGTGTATGTGTGTGTGTGTGTCCCCATTTACACACATACAAGAGAATGATTAATTTTAAGCAAAAGCATTTAAGGATTTTATCATTCTGTCTTGATTTATTCTTTCCATACGTTCGTGTTCAGTAATAACAGCAGCTCTGAAAGTGTCAGAACCAGATCAGTCAGGAGGATTCATTTAGGAATTGTGACCAGTCACAATGTGCCTTTATTTAGCCAACCCTCATAATAAGTGATTTCTATTACACGGGGCTGCTGTGTGATGAGGTGGAGAGCACGTAACCGAGGCTCTCTAGTCAGACACCCGCAGAGCCTATGCCGTCTACACACTCACCACAGCTCCTGCCCCGGCATGGGGGAGGCAGGTGGAGGGATGAGCAGTAAGTATTTCAAATGCCCTTTTGGTTTGGGGCCTGTCAAGTCTCCTGAGTCTGGAGAGGGCTGGGCTGTACTGAAAATTACTCTAATTATGAGATGTGAATTTTTGATGCATCATTGTTTCTATAAACTCCTTCTGAGTCTATCTAACCTCAAACACCCAGCTAGAAACAAATATACGGAGATGGTAAGAGATTGTGCATAGAAGTCTTTCAAGATGGCATTAAACATACTAAGACTATTAAGTAAATAATACCCATGTAAATTTCAAAGAGCCATTAGCTGAGTCTTATATTTACAAAATACAGTCCACCATCTACTGCTGACTAAGCTTTCTTAACGTCTTAATAATCTGGAAAATGAGATGCTAGGACATTAATAGTAACCCAGAGAGATTGATGAGAAATTGAAAATTCTGCAAACACAAATAAAAAAGACAGATAAGCTTAAAAATGGAAATGAATGCTAAATCAAATGTCTGTCTCTAACAAGTTGACAAATTCTGCAAGCCACAGATGCTCATAATTGGAACACTATAGAAAATAAGGATGTTAAATTAGAAAAGAACTCAGTAAGGTTAGAAAATCTATCTATGGTATTTAAGTGTCCTGGGTAATAGACAACATGAGATAAGAGGAGATCTTGGGCCAGGCACGGTGGCTAACACCTGCAATCCCAGCACTTTGGGGGGCCAAGGTGGGTGGATCGCCTAAGCTCAGGAGTTCATAACGAGCCTGGCCAACATGGAGAAACATCATCTCTACTAAAAAAATACAAAAGTTAGCTGGGTGTGGTGGTGGGTGACTGTAATCTCAGCTACTTGGGAGGTTGAGGCAGGAGAATCATTTGAACTTGGGAGGCAGAGGTTGCAGTGAGCCAAGATTCCACCACTGCACTCCAGCCTGGGTGACAGTGGATCTCTGTCTCAAAAAAAGAAAAAAAATCTTGAATATCATGATGGGAAAATCTCTAGAATCAACTTGGTGGTGAGGAAGGGGATGTTCAGAGATGGAATTTAAGGTTGAATCATGGACAACCGAAGGTTTAGACTAAAGGAAAAATAAAGGTACCAAGTGCAAAACCTTGCTAAAATCAACCTGTGAGACAAGTAGCAAAGCCTTGCAAGTTTTATCTCATACCCATTGAGGCATCGTTGTTTTGTGGAAGATATTGAATGAAAACTAGAAGTGTTCTTTATCCCCTCAATATTCAACTGATTTCCAAAAATGCAAGCTGTTAAAGTATGACATAACTTCATAAAAGAGTGTAATTTCTGGCCGGGCGCGGTGGCTCAAGCCTTTAATCCCAGCACTTTGGGAGGCCGAGGCGGGTGGATCACAAGGTCAAGAGATCGAGACCATCCTGGTCAATATGGTGAAACGCCGTCTCTACTAAAAAAAAAAAAAAAAAATTAGCTGGGCATGGTGGCACATGCCTGTAATCCCAGCTACTCAGGAGGCTGAGGCAGGAGAATTGCCTGAACCCAGGTGGCAGAGGTTGCGGTGAGCCGAGATCGCGCCATTGCACTCCAGCCTGGGTAACAAGAATGAAACTCCGTCTCAAAAGAAAAAAAAAAAAAGAGTGTAATTTTTACTTCTTGGGAAAGTCAGAAGAATTAAATGCAGAAAGATTTATAAAATAACATTTTGGTTTTATTTTATTCAATTTCACTATTTTTTTTGCTTAAACTAATGCTTAGATAACACTTACCATGTATATCATGCACCATTTAAAACACTTTGTAAACATTAACCAATTTAATCTTAATGAACCTAGAATGTACTATTATTAAGCCCTTTTACACAGGAGAAAACAGGCTTGGAGAGATTTAGTGACTTGCTCAAGGCCACAGAGCTAGTAAAATGTGGAGCCATACACAGGCCACCGGGCTCCACAGTGTTTGGAATCACTATGCAATGCTGCCTTTATAAGTAAAGGAATCAACAAGTGACATATTTTGATGATCTTGCTCTAATTTCTCAGCTTCTAAACCTTTGAAAGATTGAGAGAACATATGATACAATTGTACACTCTTTAGAACAGGAGAAAATTTGAGGAAATTTGAACTTAAAATATACCCATTTGTCTTTATAATTATATATGGAACCTTAAGGATCCTTTAAAAGATTAAATTGGTATTTCACATACACACAAAACAAGAATAGATGGATTGGAAACACACATCTTTCTGTTATTCCACCATATCTTTTACATTGAGATCAGATTAGAAAATGATCAGGATAAATGGCCAAGAATAAAATTCCCCCAAATGCTGCATAAACATTCTACCGGAAAATGTGTGACAACATTTTTAAGAAGTGTTTCCTGCCACAAAGGCTGAAGAGGGTGCCAATGTTAACATTAAAAGCTGCAGCCTGAAAAGAATAATGTCCTGAAGGGTAAACTGCATTTCCCTACAAAGGTTTAATGAAAAAGCACCCTTAACTTCAGTCTTGACTCTCTTAACTTGTAATTTCACCAATAAGACAACAGTATTAACTCACTAATCCAGTCAGGAAACATTTATAGAGCTTCAATTTAGCACTGAGACTATCCCAAAGTGAATGAGACACAGTTCCCACTTCTCAAAAAGTCCATTTAGAGAATATAAACTTGGACAAATAATTAACAAAACCACGAACTAAGTGTTAGAGGCTACAAGCTCAGAAGCAGCAGCATTAAAAAAAAATATACAATGTGCTCCTGGGTCAATACAGTGGAATGAGCACATGCATTATTTCTTATCCTAACTAAAACCCCACTAAAATGCGAGTAAATGCCAAATTTCCACCTCTAGCCAAAATGGAATAATAGGAACTTGATTTATCCTCCCACCTAACCTCCCTCACTCCATCCCAGGACAAAATATACGAAACAAAAGTACACAATACGCTGGACATCAGCCAACACTCAGTGATCCTTGAGAGAAGGGAAGCAAATGAGATGGGCCTGGTGATTTTTGAGCTCCCTGCCTGGAGAGAAGTTCCAGGCTACAGCATGAGAGGGCACATGCAGGCAGAGCCCAGCGGGCTCCTCATATTGAGTAGATGAAGCTGAGTCTGAGGAGACCGAGGCAGGTGGAGTTTACAGAGAAGAGTACTGGAGTTGAGAGTGCTTCACAGAGAGAAAACACCAGGACTTTCTTGCTGGGCATGGTGGCTCACACCTGTAATCCCAGCACTTTAGGAGGCCAAGGAGGGGGGATCACTTGAGGTTAGGAGTTCGAGATCAGCCTGGGCCAACATGGAGAAACCCCATCTCTCTCTCTCTCATATATATATATATATATATATATATATATATACATACACATATATATATGTATACATACACATATATACGTATATATGTATATGTATGTGTATACATATGTATATA